ATTCAAAAGTTTAAATATTTATTCATCCAACAACGTTTTACAGGAAAGAGTTAACTGGACAAGTAATTCGTGTGTTTTTTATGAAAGTAATATTGAAAAGGTCGATCTTTTATTTTTTATGTGATGATGATAAAGATTTCTGGTTTTCTGTTCACAATTTGTTGTTGTCTATCATAAAACAGTAAGTCCTTTAAACTGGTCTGCTGTAAAAGTAGATTTTTTTAAAATAACAAAAATCAAGATTTCTTGGTATTTTGATTTCGCTTGGAAAACGTTTTATACACAGATGTAAATTCATCAAGGTTAAGCCTTACATGAGCAGATGGGAAAAGAACCTGGAAGTATTCAAGAAAAATCTGTTTTACATGTTCTTTGTTGGAAACATTCAAGAATAACTTTCCTCAAGTTTTCCTATGATTTTTGTTATTTTCTTTTCTGTTTAATTGTCTTGTTGCAAAAGACAATTCAGCACTTTTAGATATTGATTGATTGCCCTGTCTGTTGTATAATAAAGCAGATTTCAATTTTTTTAAATAAAAGGAGATAAAAGGTACGCGGATCCACACTCTTCCTTATTGTTGCTGTTCCGACTCTGGTCCAGCAGGTGGCGGTAGAGCACCTTTACGCTGATCACAAACCGCCGTATAACCCGGAAGTTGTTAGCGGCGTTAGCTTGTTGCTGATTAGCAGCGTTAGCTTGTGTGGGTGTGTGAGGTGAACCTCTGAGGCTCTGCAGCAACAATGTCTTCAGCTCAGTCTCTGAGGGAGTTTATCAGAGAGCGGCTAACTGCTGCTGCTGCAGAAATATTCTCCGAGTTTGAACAAGCCATCGTCCGCTATGAGGAAGAGATCGATCGTCAGCGCAGACTGCTGGAGATTAGCTGGAAACCACAGATCAACTTACACAGAATAGGTATGAAACAGCAGCGGGACTCATGAGGTTTTACTGAGGACACAATCTCAGGACAGTCTGCTTGGGTCCGTTTGCTGTTCTGAAGCTTTTTGACACAACTGAGCTGAAATCAGCCGGTAAACTTTGTTCCACTTTAGAGAAATAAATCAGCAACTCCATTTAACCCTTATTATGTCCTAAGTGCATTTTTATTTATTCATGTTTTTGCGCAGACAGGTGGGTTTTTTTATTTTTTGTGAATAATTTTGACATTTGGCCATTGACTTAAGTCATTTTTTTCTAGTAAGCCTAAATATTAGCGCATATATGCATACACACACAGAATATGCATTATTCTGTATTGGTTCCCAGGACAGTTGCAGACTCAATTTTGAGTTTTTAATGTTTTCCACAAGATTTTTTCCCTATGTATACCAGGGAAATAACTAACGCTGCATTAAAAAAAAAAAAAAAATATATATATATATACATTTATGACCATTTATGACACTCGAATGTGCTCATCTGGACATAACACACAAATGTTTTTATATTTTTTCATTTGTTTACATTATATAATATAAATGGAAACCGTGTTCCCTCGCCCGGACGTGGGTCACCGGGGCCCCCCTCTGGAACCAGGCCTAGAGGTGGGGCACGTTGGCGAGCACCTGGTGGCCGGGCTTTCATCCATGGAGCCCGGCCGGGCACAGCCCGAAGAGGAAACGTGAGTTCCCGTTCCCATGGGCTCACCACTCGTGGGAGGGTCCAAAGGGGTCAGGTGCAGTGTGTGACGGGTGGTAGTCGAGGGCTGGGACCTTGGCGGTCTGATCCTCGGCTAAAGAAGATGGCTCTTGGCACATAGAATGTCACCTCTCTGGTGGGGAAGGAGCCTGAGTTGGTGTGTGAGGTTGAGAGATTCCGACTAGATATAGTTGGACTCACCTCAACGCATGGCTCTGGCTCTGGAACCAGTTTCCTTGAGAGGGGTTGGACACTCTACCACTCTGGAGTTGCTCCCACCGAGAGGCGCCGAGCAGGGGTGGGCATACTAGTTGCCCCCCATCTTGGTGCCTGTACGTTGGGGTTTACCCCGGTGAATGAGAGGGTAGCCTCCTTCCACCTACGTGTGGGGGGACGGGTTCTGACTGTGGTCTGTGCTTATGCACCAAACTACAGTTCAGACTACCCACCCTTTTTGGAGACCTTGGAGGGGGTGCTGGAGAGTGCTCCTTCCGGTGACTCCCTCGTTCTGCTGGGGGACTTTAACGCTCAGGTGGGCAACGACAGTGAGACCTGGAGAGGTGTGGTTGGGAGGAATGGCCCTCCTGATCTGAATTCGAGTGGTGTTTTGTTATTGGACTTCTGTGCCAGTCATGAATTGTCCATAATGAACACCTTGTTCAAACATAAAGGTGTCCATATGTGCTCTGCACCAGGATACGTTTGGCTGCAGCTCGATGGTCGACTTTGTTGTTGTTTCATCTGACCTGCGGCCGCATGTCTTGGACACTCGGGTGAAGAGAGGGGTGGAGCTGTCAACTGACCACTACCTGGTGGTGAGTTGGCTCAGATGGTGGGGGAGGATACCGGTCAGACCAGGCAGGCCCAAACGTATTGCAAGGGTCGGCTGGGAACGTCTGGCAGAGTCTCTTGTCAGAAGGAGCTTCAATTCCCACCTCCGACAGAACTTCCAAAATGTTCTGGGGGGAGGCGGGGGACACTGAGTCTGAATGGATCCTGTTCCGTGCCTCCATTGTTGAGGCGGCCGACCGGAGCTGTGGTCGCAGGATCGTCGGTGCCTGTCGTATTGGCAACCCCCAAACCCACTGATGGACACCAGTGGTTAGGGATGCTGTCAAGCTGAAGAAAGCGTCCTATCAGGTCTTTTTGGCCTGTGGGACTCCAGAGGCAGCTGACGGGTACCGGCGGTCCAAGCGAAATGCGGCTTGGGTGATCGCCGAGGCAAAAACTCGGGTGTGGAAGGAGTTCGGTGAGACCGTGGAGCAAGACTTCCGTATGGCTTCCAGGAGATTCTGGTACACCATCCGGCACCTCAGGGGGGGAAAGCAGTGCGTTACCAACACTATTTATAGTGAGGACGGTGTGCTGCTGACCTCTACTCAGAACGTTGTGGATCAGTGGGCAGAATACTTCGAAGACCTCCTCAATCCCACCAACACATCTTCCAGTGAAGAAGCAGAGTCTGGGGACTTTGAGTTGGGCTCTCAAATCTCTGGTGATGAGGTCACTGAGGTGGTTAAAAAGCTCCTCTGTGGCAAGGCCCCAGGGGTGGATAAGACCCGCGCGGAGTTCCTTAAGGCTCTGGATGTTGTGGGGCTGTGTTAGCTGATGCAGCAGAGCAAACGTTTTTTTCTCTTCTTGCTCTTGACAGGTGTAGATGCTTCTTTTCCTCCTCTCCTCCATATCTTATTCTCAAGGCCTTTGTTTGTCTCTGGGTGCTGGGTGCACAGCTGCTTCTGCATTTTTCTGGAAACTGGAAACTGAAATACATTTAAATGGATCTCGTTAGCTGGTCTCTCAACGCGATTGATCAAATTTTTTCAACGATGAGAAGGGGATTAGGGGCTCCCGGATGCCCTGCCGGTACAGACCCAGTTGGATACATCTTGGACTCCTGGAAACAGTGGAAGTGGATTTGTTTAACTCAGCTGTCTGTGGAGGACTCTGAAGATGTGTGGATATTCGTGGTGTTGGTGTCAGGTTCCCTGCTCATTGGCCTTGGAGGCTACCTGGCTTACCGGAAAATTAACGAGTTGTCGAGGAATATTGGCCTGATCCCGGAGCTCAGAGATGGTTTGCCCCGCGCTGTGAATTCACAGACTCAAATAATTGTCGAGATGAATCGTAAGCTTGGGACTTTGGCGGAGATTCATTCATTGGCACAAAAGATGGATGCCATCAAGGAGAGAGTGGACGAATCAGCACAGATTGGGATAGATTAATGTCCATTACTATTGGGATTCAGAGAGGTTGAGGACCAGCAGACAGTAAGACAGAGAGGAAATTATCTCTGTTTGACCCCAAAACAAGTTGTAATCGGAATCTGGCGTCCTTGAGCCTGCCAGGCTCCAACACCCCCCCCCCCCCCCCCCCCGAAGATATGTGGAGTGTACTGTCGCCATGGCAACTCTACTCTGCCTCCTTTCCCAGCCTGGGCGGGACAGCGGGAAGGCCGCTGAAGCGTCCAGCGTCACTGCAACCCTCCAACCCTAAATGCCCCCCCCCCCCCCCCCATCCACACATCTCTGTCTGAGGTGTTTTTTTTTTTTTTTTTGCAGAGCAAAGCTGCTCTCCTGCTGGAGAGTAGCTCTGAAGTGCCTCTTTTTCCCCCTCCACCTGAACCAATCCTCATGTGACCCTCGTATCTCTATTAAGGTAGCGCGACTCAGGGTTGCGAATGACCACAGTCACCAATTCTTGTCATGTGTCTTGCCCATGTATGTCTGATCTCTGAATTGTGTGTACTGAAACTCTTACTTTATTAATCCCAGAGGGAAATTATCTTTGATTTGATTGGTTGAATATCGCATGGATATCGGGGGCAGTTCCACTGGACTGGCAGACCGGGGTGGTGGTTCCCTTATTTAAAAAGGGGGACTGCAGGGTGTGTTCCAACTACAGGGGAATCACACTCCTGAGCCTTCCTGGTAAGGTCTATTCAGGGGTTCTGGAGAGGAGTGTCCGTCGGATTGTTGAACCTCAGATTCAGGAGGAGCAATGTGGTTTTCGTCCTGGCCATGGAACACTGGACCAGCTCTATACCCTTAGGGGGGTCCTTGAGGGTGCGTGGGATTTTGTCCAACCAAGCTACATGTGTTTTGTGGATTTGGAGAAGGCATTTGACCGCATCCCTCGGGGGGGCCCTGTGGGGGTACTCCGGGAGTATGGGGTACCAGGCCCTCTGATATGGGCTGTTAGGTCCCTGTATGACCGGTGTCAGAGCTTGGTCCGCATTGCTGGCAGTAAGTCGGACTCGTTCCCAGTGAGAGTTGGACTCCGCCAAGGCTGCCCTTTGTCACCGATTCTGTTCATAACCTTTATGGACAGGATTTCTAGGCGCAGCCAAGGTGTTGAGGGCATCCGTTTTGGTGGCCTGAGGATCAGGTCTCTGCTTTTTGCAGATGATGTGGTCCTGTTGGCTTAATCAGAACGTGATCTTCAGCTTTCGCTGGAGCGGTTTGCAGCTGAGTGTAAAGCAGCTAGGATGAGAATCAGCTCCTCAAAAATCTGAGACCATGGTCTTGATGATGATGGTCAAGGGACAGACACGAACGGATTGACGGAAGCGTTTTGCTCTCATACTTCTCCATCTCCTGGGGAGTGTTGCAATGTAATTCCCCGACAGGACAACAGAGGGCGTAGTGCTGTTCTGTGGTATCCTGTCATGTATCTGGTCCAAGATAGTGTGTTTATATTGTGTTTTTTGTACATAAGAGACTTTTTAACACGGGCAAATTTGTCTCTCATTCTCCTCCACCTCTTCATGGGCTCGCCACCTCTAAACCCGCGTTTCCTGTCATTTCCGTCCACAAATTAAACGATTGCTGTGCATCTTTTTACTCCTCCAGTCACGGGGGAATTAAACGTTCATATTTTTGAGTTTTTTCGTGAGGTATTCTTCAAGCTTCTCCGTGTCTGCCGCTAGTTATCCTTGGCTCTTGTTTGTTTTTGAGGGCGCAATGTGTAGACGACAGCGGTGCCCTGACCAATCACAAGCTTGCGTTCTCCGTCTCGTTCAATGGATGTTTAAAAAAGTGGGCTCGACTCCGTACATACTTGCGTGCCTGCCAGGGCCCTGTGCAAGGACGGATAATGGCGTTGCGTGTTTCCGCACTGACACAGACGGAGAAGCATGAATCAGGCTTTAGGCTACTGCCTCCGCGACCCGACTCCAGATAAGAGGGTGAAGATGGATGGATGGATTTGTTTACATTTCTGGTTATGATCTTTCACCTGACAATAAAGAAGGGAAATAAAAAGGTTAAAACTTGGGAATGCACAAAAATTTTATTATGATTTGTGCGTACTGAAGCCAGGGACAAAATTCATGTAAAACAATTGAGTTATAAAATATTAAATGAGGAAGTATTGTGTCTGCATTTTTCTTTTGCACATTAGGTTAAAAACGTGACTTGTTAGAAAACATGAAATTACACAAAAACTATTAAGTGAGCAAAAAATATTTTTATGTCCATTTGTGACACTCCAAGGCTTTGGCAGTTAAAGGTCATCTGAATATAAAACACAAAAAAATGTAGTCATTAGAAAAATTTTCACAATTCTGGTATTGGTCATAAACCTGCTAATAAAGGGGTTTAATCGGTTAAATCTCAGAAACACTTGTTTTTTTTTTTTTAATTATGTTTTGTTAGAGCTGAAGCCAAGGAGGAAATTCATGTAAAAAAGTTGGGACATATAAAATATTATATAATATTTCTGTTGGATGTTTTGTATGTGCATTTTTTTGTGATCAAACACCAGAAACGTTAAAAATCAAAATATAAAATAAATAAAATAAGGGTAAAAGACTTGGTGAACGTTTTCAGCTGATGTTCTACAATCAGAGACTTGTTAAATGAATAAATCTGATGGATACTGAGTCCAGTTCTGCTATGGGTCAGTCACACACACACACACACACACACACACACACACACACACACACACACACACCTGCTGTTCTCATGTCTGACTGTAGAACTGTGTGTGGTTGTTTGTCAGGTTAAGAGTTCATTATGTTCTAAAACATCTTCAGATGCATCAGATGATTAAAGTGAAGTGTGCTCTCTTATTGTCACATGATTCATCTTTTTGTTTGGTCTGTCTGTCCAGAACTCCCGCTGCATGATGTCAGCAAAGATGAGGAGGTTCTGACTGACCAGCAGCTCTGGAACCAGGAGAGGACCTCCAGTTTGGACCAGGAACAACCAGAACCTTTACAGGAGGGACCAGAACCTCCACAGATAAAAGTGGAGCAGGATGATCCAGAACTTTTGCAGGTTCTAGAACAAGAGGAGCTCTGCATGAGTCAGGATGAAGAGCAGCTTGTACTGAAGCAGGAGACGGTTACCTCCCTTGTGACTCCAGCTGATGAGGACAGAGACCACCATGGACCAGAACCAGACAGACACCAGCTCCTTCTGTCACTGCTTCCTGAGGCTGAGATCAGAGCTGCTGCTCCTCCAGTGTCCACAGGTGAGGAAGGGTATTTCCTTATTGTGACATCACAAACGGTTTTAGACAAATGTGGGGTCTGTGCTTCTTTCCAGTTGTCCTCGGATTGCAACCCTGAGTTGCCCGCAGAAAATGACAAACTAGGTCATTTTGCATTCCAGCTTATGCTACAGTAGGTATTTTTTATATCCTGGAATGAACCCTGAAATGAACCATGAAAATGAACCAGACGGGAGAGGAAGTCAGTAGGTTTTTTACGCTGTAAGGAGACAGCGCAGAGAGAGACTGGCTCAGAACTGGTTTCAGGCCCTGTTCCAATCAACCCTCTGGCGCGTTCTCTCTCTTCAGCTGGTTTTATTGAAACACAGGCAAACAGAGACAAAGGACGATCCATCACTGTCCACACTTAACCAATAATATGGTTTTCTATCTAAGGCGGGACCTTCTAAAATGGAAGTCTCAAGTTACAGCTAGCTTCCCTGTTGCCAAGCAGACCCTTCCCAAAGGAAGTCTTAATTTATGACTGACAGCCAGAAACTCAGTAACCATGGATACCTGTTAGGCAGGCTACTTCACCAACCCCCATGCTTATCAGGTCACATACCACAGTAATAGAGAGGAGAAAGCCCTCTGTGGCTTACTTATTAACATATGATTACTTAAAAAAGGAACATTTAAGACAGTGACTACGTTTACATGCAGCCAATATCCGGGTTATGATCGGGTTAAGGTCGGTATTCGGGTTTCTGAGTTGATCAGAATAACCCGTTTACAAGCACAAATAGAAAGCGTTACCCCTAACTTGCATAACCCGGTTTAAATGCGGACGTTGGGGTAGCGTCAGGACGTATGGCCTACGTCAAGACGCAATATGCGTCATTTCCGGTTCTTCTTGTTATGGTATCCGTGAAAACAACAACATGTTTCCCAGTTCGGGAGAGATAGCGACCGTGTTTGTTTGCGCTTTAGTGTTGGTATTGACCCACCAGCAGCCCGATGAAGACAGAGGTTTCCTCGTCACTCCAGAAGTGTGGTGCTGTGCCGCGACTCGTCATGTTGCTCCCAACTTGTTGTTTACTTCCGGTGTTCTGGCGCATACAAGACGTCTCGCTACTCAAAAGACCAAGATTCCTTGCGAACAGAGCATGCGCAGAACACACGCTTTGATGGGGATGTCCCGATATGCGTTTATACGACCAAACATTCGGGTTAGAAAAGGGTTACCCCAGGTGTAGTAACCGGGTTTTTAAAAACCCGGTTATGAGCATATCCGGGTTTTTGGCGGTGTTTACATGGCCGTGCGGAATCGGGTTATTGTGAATATTCGGGTTTTAAAAGGGTTGCTGGCTGCATGTAAACGCACTCAGTAATACATTAAAAATCTCCAACAGCTTCTAACTCGGAAAAAAACGACACCACCAGAGTTGTTGAGTACTAAAAGAACTTATTCAAAAGAACGTACCAAGTATTCTCTGCACCTAAATAATTGTGATGCACACACCCTTTGACCGTTTCCACAAACAACCAGCAAAACATTACAAACCAAATGTAAAAATAAAAATGACAGGTAAAGTAGAAACCATAAACACCGGTCAATTTTGGCAGCAATGGTGAGTTTTTCAACAAGGCAACTGTTGGTAACAACAATGATAAACAACCTACCGGTGCTGTTAAAAGTAAGAAAACAGAACATTTAAGTGAGAAAAAAGTTAAGTCATGTTGATGAACATAAAGTAAAGAGAGAGTGGGATGACAGCTGAAATGTCTGTCAGACTCAGAACTTGTTGTGCAGCGGACAGTCTGGGATCAGATGCACAGCGCTGCTTGCGATGGTGTGCTTACAAGCGCATTCTGTAGGCCACGGTTTTTAAAAATGCATATTTCTTATGTTGAACTAAATAATTACACTGGCATTTCTTTATTTTACTAGACAAATTAGGAGTCAGGCACAAGGAGCGTCACGGCACACTGACCTGTTGCTAGTCTCGCTTCAGTTTGCTGCACCATGTTCTGCCAATTCAATTCAATTCAATTCAAGTTTATTTATATAGCGCCAAATCACGACAAGAGTCGTCTCAAGGCACTTCACATAATAAACATTCCAATACAGGTCAGTTCATTAAGCCAATCAGAAATAATGTTTCCTATATAAGGAACCCAGCAAATTGCATCAAGTCACTGACTAGTGTCACTGACTATACAGCAATCCTCATACTAGGCAAGCATGCAGCGACAGTGGAGAGGAAAACTCCCTTTTAACAGGAAGAAACCTCCAGAGAATCCTGGCTCAGTATAAGCAACCATCCTCCACGACTCACTGGGGATCGAGAAGACAGAGCAGGCAGACACACACACACACACACACACACACACACACACACACACACACACACACACACACACACACACACACACACACACACACACACACACACACACACACACACACACACACACACACACACACACACACACACACACGTAATGTGTCTATAGTTATATTGTGATGTCTTAGTAAATATTGTATTTGGTGAAAGATAAACTTTATTGTATTTATCCTAGTGGATCTATAATTAAATGGATAAACTAGTATTAGCACATCAAAAGTCAATGAAAACAAAAAGTTATTATCAGGAGAGAGAGAATGTATTAGTGGTTAGCAGCAGTGTGCTAGTCGATGGCCCCCTCCATGAGGCCACCACAGCTCAGCAGAACGTCATTGTAGCTTCTTCTGGGGAGAAAAACACTCACAGAGAAAATAAAGTTAACAGCTGAAATTGCACAAAATAGTACAGTTAAAGAGCAGACTGTAGAAGAAAGCAGTAGAGTGTGAGAAGTGGTCAGTGTATCCTCCAGCAGTCTAAGCCTATAGCAGCATAACTACAGAGTTAACTCTGGATAACCTATCCTATTTAGATGTAGGCATGTTGGAGGCAGGGCAAGGGAGAGCCGTCTTTACCGACTGTACACTCCACCTCCCTGTAATCCCCCACTTGTCCAGATTTAGGCTAACATCAGATTTTAACTATAAGCCCTATCAAATAAAAATGTTTTAAGCCTATTCTTAAAAGTAGACAAAGTGTCTGCCTCACGGACTAAAGCTGGGAGCTGGTTCCACAGGAGAGGAGCCTGATAACTAAAAGATCTGCCTCCCATCCTAAGTTTAGATATTCTTGGAACCACCAGTAGACCTGCAGTCTGAGAGCGAAGTGCTCGGTTAGGAACATATGGAACAATCAGATCACTGATGTATGATGGACCTTGATTATTAAGAGCTTTATATGTGAGAAGAAGGATCTTAAAATCTATTCTGAATTTAACAGGTAGCCAATGTAGGGAAGCTAAGACAGGAGAGATATGATCTCTCTTTTTAATTCTCATCAGAACTCTAGCTGCAGCATTTTGGACAAGCTGAAGACTTTTAACTACATTCTGTGGACTTCCTGAGAGTAATGAATTACAGTAATCCAGTCTTGATGTAATAAAAGCATGAACTAGTTTTTCAGCATCACTCCTGGAAAGTATCCTTCTAATCTTAGCAATATTCCGAAGGTGGAAAAAGGAAATCCGACAAACTTGTGAAACCTGGGATTTGAATGACATGTCCTGGTCAAAGATAACACCAAGGTTCCTTGCTTTGTTCTCGGAGATTAATGTAATGCCATTAAGGTCAGGCGATTGGCTAAGCAATTTCCTTTTCTGGATTTCTGGTCCAAAGATGAGAACTTCCGTCTTGTCTTGATTTAAAAGCAAGAAGTTAAGAGTCATCCAATTTTATATGTCCTCAAGACAAGCCTGTAATCTACCCAACCGATTAGGTTCATCAGGGTTAATGGATAAATATAACTGAGTATCGTCAGCATAACAGTGGAAGTTTATCCCATGCTGTCTAATGATTTTACCAATTGGGAGCATATATATAGTAAAAAGAATTGGCCCAAGCACTGAACCCTGTGGTACTCCGCAAGTAACCCTGGAGTATGAAGACGATTTGTCATGTACATTTACAAAATGAAATCTGTCAGACAGGTAGGATTTAAACCAGCATAACGCTGTTACTTTGATCCCTACAACATGTTCAAGTCTTTCTAAAAGAACATTGTGATCAACTGTTTCAAAGGCAGCACTGAGATCTAACAAGACTAGAACAGACACAAGATTCTTATCTGAGGCCATAAGAATATCATTTGTAACTCTCACTAATGCAGTTTCAGTGCTGTGATACTCTCTAAAACCAGACTGAAATTCCTCAAACAGAGCATTAGTGTTTAAATGCTCACATACTTGGATGGCCACTATTTTCTCCAGGACTTTGGATAAAAATGGAAGGTTAGATATTGGTCTGTAATTCATTGGGTCATCTGGATCCAGAGAAGGCTTCTTAAGTGAAGGTTTGATTACAGCAACCTTAAAATCTTGTGGTACATACCCATTTACTAAGGATAGATTGATTATATTTAGAATCGGGGCAGTAACCGAAGGAAATGCATCTTTAAATAATTTGGTTGGGATTGGATCCAAAATGCAAGTTGAAGGTTTAGATGAAGCTAATATTTTTGATAACTCTGAAAGCTCAACTGGATCAAAACGGTTCAAGCACAGATGAGGTTCTAGAGTCACCTCTGAAGCTGCCTCACTTACTGAGGAAGAAGAAATCGCATTAGGGAGGATGCTAAAGATTTTGTTTCTAATAGAATTAATTTTACTTGTAAAAAATCCCATGAAGTCATTGCTGCTGAGGGCTAAGGGAATAGATGGCTCAGAGCTACGATTCTGTGTAAGTTTAGCAACTGTACTGAAAAGAAATTTAGGATTATGCTTATTCTCCCCAATTAATGCTGAAAAATAAGCAGTTCTAGTTTGTTGAAGCTTATTTTTATAAAGCAAAAGACTATTTTTCCAGGACAGGTAGGCCTCCTCATGGTGCGTAGAGCGCCATGTTCTCTCCAATTTCCTAGAGTTTTGTTTTAAGGCTCGTAGATGAGAGTTAAACCAGGGAGCCAACTTCCTGTCCCTAATTACCTTCTTTTTTAAAGGGGCAACATCATCTAATACCACATGTAAAGAGGAATTAACATGATTAACTAAGGCATCAATTTGTGAGGGGCTAGAACTGAAAATATTGCCCTCTGCTACATGCCTCTGAGATGCTGAGGACAGTAAAGATGGAACAGTTGATTTAAAAGATGCAACAGCGTTGTCAGGCTCCAGGAGGTGCTATAAGCAAGCAAAACTTCTTAGTATGCCTTTAAGACTCTCTGTAACACTGATGGCACAAAACAGAACATCTCTCTCTTCTCTTTCTTTGAGGGGACCGGATGTGTACAGACACACATGAATATTATTTTGGTCTATTTGTTTTTCTCCACCTCAACTGAAGGGGTGATATGGGTTGTATGTTTGTTTTTTATGTATATTCCCAACAAACACTGGTCCGACGCCGACGCGGTGTCCACGTCCAAAAATGGTTGCAGTAGGATGGCCCGAATTTGTAAAAAAAAAAAAATAACGGAACATGTCTTAAAAATCCATTCAGATACATTTGTATATGCCTACAGTTATATGTGTAATTGTTATTTTGACAATTAGTTACGTGTAGTTCAACATAGCATCCCAGCAAATATTGGTCCGATGGCAACGTCGTGTCCACGGCCAAAAATAGTCGCGTTAGGACCCTACAAATCATTGGTCCGGCGGCGACGTGGTATCCACGGTCAAAAATGGTCACGGTAGGACGGCCCAAATTTTTAAAAATAATTAACATAACATTTCCTAAAAATTCACTCAGATTTGTAGTTAGTTGCATGTATAATTATTAGGTGTAATTCACGTCCAAAAAAGACGTCAGTTCAACTTTCATTTTGGAACTATTTTTCAACCATGACGGGACGTGTCGGCCCGACGTCTTTTCAACGTTGATTACACGTTCAAATATTTGCTGGGTTAAGTCTGTAGTTGTTCAACCAGGCTTTGCAAGGCTGAGTAATTTGTGATAAAGTATCAGCACTGTGGAATTGTCAGTAGCAGTGTGGGAGTTTATTATTAGTCATCTACTGCATCATCTTAAAATAGAACATGCATCATTACAGAACCTGCAAGAAAGGTGTTCATGTGTGCATTCATTGGTGACCATCAGCTCCAGTAGCCGTATTTTGACTTCAGATTAGGGCTGCAGCTATCGAATATTTTTGTAATCGAGTACTCTATCGAATCTTTTTTCGATTAATCGAGTACTCTAATAAATTACCCTTTTGTGTTTGAAAACCATTACATCAAATAGCATGTTATAAAATATGAAACACCTCTTAAAATGAGCATGCAGTTGCAAGTTATTCTTCAAGTTTTATTCAAAATTAGTTTTCAAAACTTCAACTTTACTTCACAGTAAACAAATTCTTGTGCAAAAATTATGTATATAACCTGAGCCGATTTTCCCCTCGTGCGAGAATCTGCTGGCCCGGCAAGCCAGGCAAAAACTAGGAGGATAACTGTTGAAGTAGCGCTGCGAGCGGCTGCGGCCCAAACAGAACCAGAACCGCTGAAGGTGCATTCGCAAACAGCTCGCCAGCTGTTTCCCTATTAACACACGTCCGTTTTAATTTCTACACTTTTTTTCTCACACAAGGATTGTCGAGAAAGCATGTTTGCCATGGTTATGTCAAATTACACTGATCACACATTTATTTACTTTCTTTCGTTTTCCTCCGCCACTCTCATAAATACCCGTCCTCCTGCAGCAATCACGAGGGACAACAAATATCAATAACAACACAATAAAAAGTCCGACATGTTCTGTAAAAACTGCTATTTTTTAGCACATTTTAAGTCTGACGTGTTGCTAGAAGACGTACGGCGTGACCTGAAACCAAGTGCTACAAACGAAAACGTTGCACAGTGTCCGCAGAATGTACAGAAATACAGGCTAAAAAATGCATTATCTTGTAGAGGCTCCGAGTCCGCTTGCAGAAGTGACATTTACATGTGGATGTTTCCTGGTCAGGCTGCAGCATCGAGGAATAAGGTGTGGTAGGCTAAATCCATTTTACAGTATTTACACTGGACTACGTTTTCCGCCTTACGACGTGAAAAATGGTCCCACACCTTTGACATTTTCTGTCTTTTTCGCACTCCAATGGGGTCCACGTTGTCCGCCATGGCTTAAAAGAAAGCTAAGTTACATTCGCTACTCGTGTGTGCATTCAGTGCAGTGTGTATGTGCGTCACTTATTTCGGTCCGGGTGAAACATGACCACGGGTGATTGCAAAGCCATGAATTAATTAAACATGAATTAAACGAAGCCTCGAGGCAGAGAATTTGACTCGAGGATTTTTTGTACTCGAATTATTCGAGGTACTCGAGGAATCGTTTCAGCCCTACTTCAGATCATAGCTCTTTGATCATGATTTGTTGTATCACATCAAGCATAACATTAAACAGACAATGTGTTGTTTTTACCAATAATTTCTTGAAATATCCATCAAAATGTTGTTGAAAATGAAATAAATGATGCCCAGTTGTTGAAAAATATTGGCAGCTTCGTAACATAGAACCATAAACATCGGGTCTACAATACATGAGAGCAGGTCTACGTTACTGGGCAATGCCCTATTGGATGCCATGTTTCCTGTTATGGGAGCCCATGAGGACAAAATGCATTTACTGATTTGAAACAAATGGTTACAAACTGTTCTCCATTCTTAAATGTTGTTGTTTTACACATTTACCTCTTCACTTGTTGCCAGTGATGAAAGGAAGTCTGATGTGCTTGTTATTTAGCAGAAGTTTGCACTCTCCAGGGCTTTTTGACCCTAATGGGCATCCGTTGGTATGGTCTTACTCCAACACAAAAAATACTGCTTGCTTGCAATGACTGGATAGGCCATTGTATTTACTGTTTTGGAGAGACAGAGTCTATTTTATTGTTTTTGGTGAAATATTTTCTTACAGGGAGTGAAAGTCCTTTTTTATCTCATTTTATTTTTTTTATTTTTTTATTTAGAAGTTGTGGTTCTGCATTTCAATGTTAAATAATGGTTTAATTGTTGCATTTTAAAGGGTGTACTTGCATTCCTATGACATATTAACTAGGGATGTACGTTCATCAGATGATTAAAATAAAATGTGATGTTTTAAATTGTTATATTAATTAACTTGTTTTTTTTTGTCTTTCAGCCTGTCCAGAACTTGCGCAGCATCACGTCTGGGAAAAAGTGGAGGTTCTGACTGACCAGCAGCTCTCTGACCAGGAGAGCACCTTCAGTTCAGACATGAAGGAGCCAGAACCTCCACTGATCAAAAAGGAACCGCAGGAACTCCGTATCCATCAGCAGGAAGGGCCGTTCATTCTGATGCAGGAAAATGTGACCTTCATGGCGAATTATCCACTTGAAGAAACAGACTGCTGTAAACCAGAGCCAGATAGGAACCAACCCTTGTGTCAGAGTTCTACTGAAGATGAGAACCAAGATCAGGATGGATGCAGGAATGAAAACTCTGAATCAAAAAGCAACGAAGAACTGACACAAAATAAAATAAGTCAACAAACCAAAGATCACAGAGACAGTGTAGACAGTCAGGAACTAATAATGCACAAAAGGGCTCGCAGAGATAGATCATTTTCATGTAAACTGTGTGGAAAATCCTTCAACTACAAAGGTCATTTGACTCTTCACTTGAGAACTCACACAGGTGAGAAACCATTTGCATGTGAAGCTTGTGGTAAAGGTTTTACAGACCGTGGCTCCTTGACTAAACACTCAAGAACTCACACGGGTGAAAAACCCTACCCATGTGAATTTTGTGGTAAATGTTTCTCTAGGAGTGATCACTTGACCGATCACATGAGAACTCACACGGGTGAGAAATCATATCCATGTAAAATATGTGGTAAATGTTTTACTGGCAGCGGTAAATTGACTAAACACATGAGAAGCCACACAGGTGAGAAACCATATCGATGTGAAATCTGTGGTAAACGTTTCTCTTGTGGAGATCGTCTGACCAAACATATGAGAACTCACACGGGTGAAAAACCTTATCTATGTGAAATCTGTGGTAAGTGTTTCTCTAGGAGTGATCAGTTGACCGAGCACACCAGAACTCACACAGGTGAGAAACCATATCCATGTAAAACTTGTGGTAAAAGTTTTACTTTCAGTAGTAACTTGGCTAGTCACATGAGAACTCACACAGGTGAGAAACCACATGAATGTAAGATTTGTGGGAAACGTTTTACTGACAGCGGTAATATGACTAGTCACGTGAGAAGTCACACAGGTGAGAAGCCATATCCATGTGGAATCTGTGGCAAATGTTTCTCACAGAGCTCTTCTCTGACGAAGCACTTGAAAACTCAACACAAATGAAGTTTTTTTCTTGTTTGATGTGCGGTTTGAGTAAAGGTTCCGGAGGGTTGACGATCCTGATTTTAAAACTACTTTTAGAATGTTTGGGGATTATATGACTGCCCGCTGGCCCCGTCGGACTATTGTCCGTAGAGGGATGGGTCAGGGTTCAAATTATGGGGGAGCTAAGGGACATCTGGCTCCCTCGAGGGGTTAATGGGCTCCCCTAGAAGCCCTCAGCTTAGGGGGAGCCTAAAACAAGATACAGTTTCCATCAAGAATGGTGTATTTATATGGAGTCTCAGTGTTCCAGAACTTTTGAGTGGAAAGGGGGAAAGCTGATTGTTCATGCGCTCCAGGCCTGAGCTTCTTGTGCATGACCAGGCCAAACATGTAATTTCATGTTGTTTATCTTATTTCATCCATAATTCATTTAGTTTTTAAAGCTCAATTTTTAGGTTGTTCATTTAAGTATAATAATGGCCCTTGACCCATTTTCACGTCTGACTTTCTAAAATGTTTTATTAGTTTTCTTGAATTGTTGAGGCAACCGACAACAGCACATGTTGGACCAGAGCTCGTCTTTGAAATGGTAAAGCCGCCGGTTACGGCGTAAAGTAGCAGGCAGCTTACGTACGCTCTTAAAGAAACGTGGATACATGCTGGAGGTTGAGGAGGAGAAGGAAGGCTGATGCTGGAGTAGGCTGCATAAGGTAAATAAATGTGTAAAAACCAAGCTGTTCTCGTGTGGTGTGTGTGTGTGTGAGCCCTGGAGTGGCTGTAACTGCGAAAATGTATTTTTGAGTAAGATTAATATTAAAGAGCAAGTCACCACCTACCAGATTCTTACTCAACTCCCACTTCCTGTTTGAAAAATGCAACAAATGCTGTTGCCTAGCAGATCGAGAGGGCGGAGCTGCTAACAAATACACACACTCACAACATTGTGACATCATAATGTACCCGTCTAACATCATAGTGTACCTCTTACCCAATAGCGATGGCAGATTTAAATTCGAATGCAGTGCAGAGTTTTTGCCTGAGGACGGTGCATCGCTGACAGTTTTAGGCAGAATATTTTAATTTTAACTAAGATGCACTAAAGTGCCGAATTATTGATTCACGTGTCTGCAACACGATCAGACACTCATTTATATAGTTTATCAACAAAAAAATGTTGATTTGGAGTGACTTGCTCTTTAAATGTTACATTACTGTGTACAGTTATGATTACAAACAAATGTTTCTTGTTGTAAAGATGCAGTACATGTCTGTTAAAAAACATTTTTTAATTATTTCTGAATCTAACTGGTCACGTTTGTCATGCAGCCTGAACATGAAAATAGTTCTCTACAACTTAGCTTCTGATAGAAAATAAATGGATAGAGTCTCGGTTCAGAGAAGCCTGACAGAGTCACACTTTCACTTAACATTCATGAACTCACCCATCTTGACTCGCAACGGGGAAGGCCGTTGGTGGTTTAGCGTCCAGGAAACCGCAGAGAACGTCTCGACTAGTTGGAGGTAACTGTTCGCAACTCCAGCGCATGGCAGATCTCACTCAGGCTTGTGTCATTTGTAGCGATGTTCATGAAGTAATCAAATCTTTTAAACAGGTCTTCAGGGTGAACAATGAAAGCCGAGTCCTTTTAGAGAACCGTTCACTTTGTCTGCCAGCAGTCCTGCACTCCCTGGACATTTGCATAGCGCTGACCCCCCCCCCCCCCCCCCCCCATGTGTGCACTTGGCACCAGGATACCGTAGGCCACAGCTCGATGATCAACCTTGACGTCCCATCTGATCTGCAAGAGTCAGAGTGGGTCATGTTCCGTAATTCCATTGTTCAGGTGGCTGACTGTAGCTGTGGCTGCAGGGTAGTTGGTGCCTGTCGTGGCAGCAGCCCTCAAGCCCGCTGGTGGACACCAGAAGTTAGGGATGCTGTCAGGCTGAAGAAAGAGTCATATTGAGTCTTTCTGGCCTGTGGTACTCGGGCATACAGTTGGCTTGCTGAGTGAAAAAAAGTTTTGGTTCCCATCCTTTTGATCCATATAGATAGCGGCCATGGTCCTTGAATGCATCACAACAGCAGAAAAAAATATGCAGTGGGTGTTTTTTTGACTTAAGTAAGGCTGTTGACACTATAGGTAACACACTTCTTTTACAAAAATTTTAAATTTATGGTATTTGTGGCATTGCGCTCGTCTGGCTGGAAAGTTATTGTAGTAAAAATCAGAATGTGAATATGAATGATGTCAACTCCAATAAAGAATTTATACACTATGGAATACCACAAGGTTCAGTATAAGGACCAAAATTATTTTTCATTTACAATAATAATTTATGCACGGCTCTAGATAAAGTGAATTACTTGTTGTATGTTGATGATACCAGCCTTTATTTATCTGATTATGACCTAAATAAGTTAATAACCATTCTCAATAAAGAGCTTCTATAGTTCCATAACGATGGTTTGATCGGAGCAAACGTTTGATGAATCTGACAAAAACAAAATACATTGTATTTGGAAAAAGGGTAATTAATAATCAAATTATTACTGTAGATGGTAAAGAACAGGAACAAGCACATACCAACAGGTTCTTAGGAATCACCATCAATGATAAATTTTAAAGAAGAAACAAACTTTTTTATTACCCCTCTCAAGATAAAAATCACAAAGCGCTTCAAAAGAACAACAAAAATTTTTTTTTCAAATATAAAAAATGGGAAATGTTTGCTGGAAGCAGCATATAAATGACATAAATTTAAAATCATCGCAAACATTAGATTAATTTGTAGAATGAGATTTGCCTTAGATATAAAATTCCTGAATTTATATTATTCCTTGTTTTTCCACATTCGACAAAAGGGGTGGAAATATGGGAAACAACTATCAAGCAATTTCCTACTTAAAAAAAGCAGTTTGCATTATGAGTCATGCTTCCTACTCTGCACTAGAGGTGGGAAAAATGATCGATTCTAAGATGCATCGCGATTCAGCCGTGCATGATTCTGCATCGATGCAGCAACGTGACATAATGAGATTCTCACTATGTCTATATTCTGGACGTGTGAGCAAAATCAAGTTTTGAGGTTTTACAACTACTTCCAGGGGCAGAGTTGCAATGACATGTGCATTGCGTTGCCCTAGTGCAGGGGTCGGCAACCCGCGGCTCTGGAGCGCATGCGGCTCTTCCATCCATCTGATGCGGCTCTCTGTGCTTGTAAAATAATGAATGGATATTTTAAAAAAAGCTTTATATTTTACTGCATTAATTTTACATCTGTGTGCCAATTCTAAATGTAAAGATTGGCTGCGTAAACCTGAACAGGTCCAACCCACTCTTACTGTGAGACCGGGTTGACGCGTCACGCTTGTGCGCATTCTGGGCTGAAGAGGATGTGAGATTCTGGGATTCTCCTCAGACGGCTCGTGGATGCATCGCCACATTGGAGACAGGAACAAGCACAATTCAGCCAAAGTTTCATAATCAGGGAACATTTTCTAAGTGACAAGTCTTTCTGAGAGACCGGGTTTGGAAAACGCTCGCTTCAGTCGGAGGAATCTTCCCGCATGCGCTCTGGTTCTGCGACGCCCCTCTCCACATCTTCAGCTCGCTGTGGACCGTACGTACGCGCTGACAGTGAGCTGTCTACGCCGTGTCCAGCTCAGATGTTCAGATAGGAATCTTTTCTTGAGTGATTTAGCTACATCTGCGATGTGCTTAACGAATAAATTGTCAGTTCGTCTGCATGCGTCGGGGTAATTCTTTCTCCGTCAAAATAAACGGTCAAATATGGGAACTGTCCGGTCAACACAAGCCCTGCTTTTGACGGTTTTGTTTTCTTGTGAGAATTGTTGCAAAGAGATATAATTTAACGTGATTAACACCAGAGCCTGCGCCGTTATCTCCGTCACTGTAAATGAGGGAAAAACAAAATGATCGGATCCTTTTCTGACCTTCCCCACCGACAGAGTTTAATTACAACAATCAAACGTGACAGAGCCTGGATTTGTATTCTGAACAGTCTAAACATGTTTTAAAAAGAAACGTGTGACAAAAGTGGCACCTGCTCAGTAAAACCACCAACAGGGTGAAAAATATCTAAATATTGTAGGCAGAGATGGGCTACAACTTCTGGATCCACTTTATATAAATCGTTTTATTGATTATCGTCGTATGAAAGATAACTTTGACGTACACGAGCAACCGGTACCGGCTGCTGTCACCTGTTGTGATTGGTTAAAGCAGCTCTCTGCACAGTATTTGTTTACTATTTTTAAGTTCAGCAGTATTCTATCTTAAAGCTGCTCTACAGAAAAGATTATTTATTATATTATTTAAGTAATTATAGGCAGCACACTTTAAAAATTGTTGCTCACTATAGTGAATAGATGTATGTTCTGTTTTTCAGGGATATCGAAATAAAAAATAAATTAAAAACTATTCTGCTGCTTTTATTAAGTAAAGAAAAATTTTGTGTGAAGAATCGTGATGCATTTCAGACTCAAATCGAATCGTGAGGCAGGTAGAGATGCACACCACTACTTTAAATGTTCCAACAGGACTGATTTCACGTAGCGTTAAAAGACATGACACATCACTTTCACTGATCCAATCAGAGTCTGCCAGATCTGATGGAGGCATGGTTTTGATGGTGTTTGGTAAAATCTGTCAACTTTTCATTCGACCATAAACCAAAACATCCGAAGTATAAAACTATGCCCACGTTATCTCTAACGCCAGTTCAAAGCGTTCCAGAGAAAGTGCCGGAGTGGCCAATCCGTAACTTTCCTCTTCAACCAAAAGAACCAACGACAAGCTGGAAAATTGGTTGCTGTTCCAACTGCTGCAACGCTTTCTTTCAGAATAAAAGCTGAACCATCAAGACCCAGGCTCGGGTCTCACCAGATGCCAACAAATGGCCGTGACCCGGAAGTATCTCAAGACGGGTGGTCGGCTGCCATGGCTGTTTCTACCGGCTCCTGCTCCATAAGGTCAAGCTGGACCTTTACACCTCCTGATCTAGACGGGAACTTCTGCTCAGGGTAGGTAGACTGACAAATGGTGTCTCATGTGTTTATGAACCTCCTAACCAAAGCTTAACGCAAAAACATCGTCTTCGGTTCCCATCAGAACTAATCGCTTCTTCGGATTTGCTGGTTCTGAGCAACATTCCACATTCCACCATTCTCCGTCTCATCCACCTTAGTTACACCATGCATTTAGAGTTTAAAGTTAGTCTAGTTTAATTTGTTTAGTAATAAAATTTTAAAACTTTTAAACTTGACTCTCTCTCTTCTGTTGTCTCTGAGTGAATACGAAGCTGTTATCTAATCCCTGCATTAAAAAGTTCCAATCTTCTGGTTTAAAATAACCTCCCAGATCCATAAGGTGGATTTCACATTTACTATGGAATCACACGCCTTGTGGCTTATTAAATAACATGCAATTTAAATCATTACAAGGCTTAAATTGGATTTACTGAAAATTAAAGACTTTTAGAAAATTATAGAGAAAATTGACAAATTCAGGCAGACACATGAATTAAGTTTTTGGCTCATGAGGAGGGCTGTTACACAAAGGGTGGACCCCAAGTATAAGATCTCTGACTTCTCAGTGCAGTGTTTTATTTCCTAAAAGCAGTGACTCAATCATCCGAGGGGTCAGATTGCAGGAATACTACAATCTTGCTTCTACAAACACTCAAACAGTCCAGGACAGGATCAGCTAGCTACAGATAACCCTGCATGCTTACCCGTTGTTGCTCAACAATCTTCTTTTAGCCGAGACAGACCTTCTTTTGCTTTAATAACCCTTACTCGCGTTCTAAACACACACATAGGCAGCTGCAAACAGGTCAACCCATTGCACCCTCCACAATAAAACAATAAAGGAGGCGTAAAAATACCTCTCCTTTAACGAGTTACTCACTTAAATGTTGGAACGTTCCATTTGTGTCCAATATTCTGTTTGTGAAGTGGTCTAAAACAGGCTCTTAATTCCACCATTTAGATCTTACATATTAATGATGAAACTTCAAAGAATTATAAAGTTAATAAAATTGTAATGACGTTATTTACACATTTTCTTAACACTTCCCAACGTTTATCATTTCTACTCCACCTAAAACATCAACCAACACACTTCCAATAGGCTTTATGACTTTGCATCATTAAAGGACAATTAACTTAAACTGTGTTTTGCTTTTAAAAGGTTTTAATGCTTTTAAATGCAAATATTTAGCACTAAGGGTCGGAGAGAAATTGAAATTTTAATTCGCTATATGTATGCGCTGTACATGTGGTGGAAGTGGCAATAAAGCTGATTGATTAATTGATTGATTGATTATAACAAGGAGTATATAACCCACGGAGGACCACAAGGTTCAATATTAGGACCAACATTTTTACATAGAGAGATGGGTAAATAAAACATGCAGGTGAACCTACAGAAGATTAAATCATTTGTCTTGTATGAAGGCGTTCGCTGCAGAAGGACGGGCACAAACGTGTCGTGGGACCAAAGAAAAAAATGTTTTTGCTGCAAATCCTCAGCGGGCCTGTGAGGCTCAGCCTGCATAGTGACGTAGACATAGATACAGTTCACGTGTCCCAGTGACGAGGAGGAGGAGATCACGCAGAAGACGACCACTTTTACATTGTAGGTTTTGTGTCATCAGACAAAGAACTGGAGAAGGAATTAAATGTGGGCGGGTTTAAAAAGCGTTACCGCAGAGAAACCATGGAACCTGTTTCTCACTCATTTTAACAACAACTCTGCACTGAGTGTTGGATAAAATGCATTTGGTGTTTTTTAACGGCGTCACTGGTGATTGTTCTAACGGCCCAGAGAAAATACCACAGAGGAACTTCCAGCTGAGAACAACGGAGATCATTTTGGTCCATTTAAAGCAGCTCGAACGTTTCTTTGCAACATAAATCCAGTGAGATGTTGGTTAAAGTGGTTCTGTTTACATCGTATCAGTGGGAGTGAGTTCTTCTCATTCTCTGTCTGCACAGGCTAGAATGAAAAGTGCTGAGTCACTGTGAGAATGCAGTCCTGGCATTGCTGCAGGTCTGAATGAAGGAGATTACAACTTTGTCACTTCTAGCTTGGATGAAGAGCTTCGCGTGACTTTTCTTCAGTAAAACCACTTTCTCCTGATGCTTAAATGACTTTTCCCCCCCACATAAAAATACAAACAATGTCACTCCCAGCCCTTATTTTGAAAGGATTACAGCTGTGTTGACAGCATGGATGCTTTGTCTCTATTAATAAGGCAGACACAGGTGAAGAGTGTGAGCTCTGGACACTCGTCTGCCTTTTCCCCTCAGTTCACCTGATAGAGCTGCAGCACGAGTCAAGAGAAGCTCCTCCTCCTCGTCACTGATGATGTCCAACACCAGCAGCTGGACTCAAACCACTGCTGACCAGTGGTTAGGCTCAGGGTTAGTTTAACCAGCCTGGCAGCAGAGTAGACCCTCTCACCAGCCATCAGTCAGTGATCTTTGGGACAACAACCTGGGCTGGGACTTTGTTCCACCAATCCAGTCGTGGAGGGTGAGCTCTATAAAAGAGGAGGTGTGCAGCCTTCCAGACTCACTCCTCACCACCTCCCCCATCGCTAACTCCTCCTGCGTCTGCTGCGAGTGGCTGCTCGATCTGAAACCATGGCCAAGGACATGACTCTCATGTGGGGCTCTGGCTCTCCTCCCTGCTGGAGGGTGATGATCGCTCTGGAGGAGAAGAACCTGCAGGGGTACAACAGCAAGCTGCTCTCCTTTGACAAGGGGGAGCACAAATCCAAGGAAGTCATGGACGTTAACCCAAGGGGTCAGGTAGGTTCTGTTCAGAAACAGCCGCTGCGTTTTGGAAAACCTTTAAAAATCTGTAATTCTTTGTTTTTATTTGAAAGCTGCCTGCCTTCAAACATGGAAACATCATCGTGAACGAGTCCTATGCTGCTTGCCTGTACCTGGAGGTGAGAAGGGGCCGAACCTCGGACCTGGTTAAAGTTTTACCGGTTCTGCCAACAGAAGTGGGAGGTGTGCTTGTGCTTTAGCAGAGGCAGACACCCGACGCCCTGGTGAGTAGAACAGGAAACCTGAGCCGCTCGTAACCGTCGCTCTTTTCATGTCAACAACAACAGAACCAGTTCAAGTCCCAGGGAACGAAGCTGATCCCTGACAGCCCGGCTGAGATGGCCCTGACGTACCAGCGCATGTTTGAGGGTCTCACACTCTTCCAGAAAACAGGTGTGTGCCCCGACAACCACGCCTCCATGACCAGCACACACACCACTTCAGCTGACCGCTGTGACCTGAAGGGACTCGGAGAAGCTGCCTGATCCTGTCTGAGCAACGACTTGTTCATGTCAGACTCGGAGGGATGACTAGCTCTTAGCAACATCAGACAGTCTCCTGATGGGGGGGGGGGGGGGGGGGGCAGCTGCACCCATCCCCGTGAGAACCCAACTGTTTCAGAAACACATGACACGCACAAGCAACGAGTGTGCACTCGCACGCTTAGGCTAGACTCGGGGCATTAAACCTTTGGGGTCCAGATGGGGGTGGAATGTTAGCGGGTCACGAGTTAATCCCACAGAGATCACGTGATCTCACTGGTTACAGCACGGCAGCGAGAGGTTAAAGGAAGTTTTCTAACCGACGTGGCCGCTCATCCCAACTGGTCCCGTCTGCTGCCGCTACAGGAAATGAGAGTGATCAGTGGGAGTGGGTGTTTGTTTTAACGTCCGCTTGTCTCGCAGCACAATCTCTCTTCTACGAGCGCTTCGTCCCGGAGAACGAGAGGCACGATTCTGCCAGAAAGAGGAACGGAGAAGATCTGAAGAACGAGATCAAACTGTGGGAGGGATACATGCAGGTGGGACCGCTGATGCTTCTGTCTGCTGCAGTTTTTACACTCGGCACACGTCCATTATTGTCAGGGATCCAGCTCCGACTGAGAGACCATCTAAAGGCTCAGGAACCCTGTACATGTCATCACAGTCCTAACAGATCAAGGCTGAAACGTCTGGCTCTGTCCGTCTCCTTTATTAGTTTCACCTTCTTAAGCTGAATTAGTGACATTAATGAACTTTTGCACCAGATTCTGATTTCCAGGTTAATCTGTGCAGAATTACATTTAGACCAACTCTTCATTTATATTTAACTTCCTCCCAAACGTTAAAACCGTACAGGATGTGGTTTTAGTCGTGTGTTTAACTGGATGCAGAGTTTTCTGCCTCACTGCTCTGAAACAACGTTTCACCTTCAATCTGAGCTCAGCTTGTTTGTAATCTGCTCTGATTGGTGGGATTACCTGACCGTGTCGGTCTTTACATCAGCCTCTGAGACGGAAACTTGGCTTATTTCCTCGTTTGCCTTTTAGGAAAACATCTTAGCCACCGATCCAACAACGTAGATAAAACTGGTGAAGCTTTCTGAACCTCTGGTTCATCCATTTACTCTGTTTTGTAGAACTCATCAGGAGATTTCCTCGCAGGAAAGACCTTTTCAATGGCCGACGTAATCGTTTTTCCTGTGATTGCTTTTCTCTTCCGCTTTGGGTAAGTCCAGATTAAACGAACCACTTCTTTAAAGTAAAGGACAAAATAAAAACCAACAACAATTCTGTGTTTTCTGTAGGTTAAACGAGGAGCACTTCCCTAAGCTTGCAGCTTATCATGAACTTCTGAAGAACCGACCCAGCATCAAGGCTTCCTGGCCTCCCAGCTGGAAGGACACACCAGGAATGCCGGTGCTGAAAGACTTCTGAGCTGTTAAACCTGTTAGATATGAACCCGCGCCTTCGGCTGCACGCTGTAGAAGTTAATAAAGCACGCTTTTGCGGCAGCTGTGTTAATTACAGGTACGGTTTTATGCTGTGAACAAAACGATAATAAAATTTAATTACATGTTCATGTGTCTCATTGAAGTTTACATTTCATCCCCTCCGATGCAGTAATATATATTTTTCACCAATAATGAGTCATGTTTTGGGCTCTTCTTTGGTGCCATCTAAGGTTAAAGTCCCATTAGTCATCGCGCATCTCAGCATGTGACCCAGCCCTGTGGGGAGCGGTGAGCTGCAGCAGTGACTGTGCTCGGGAACAATTTAGTGGTTTAGCCCCCCCCCGCCAGTCCAACCCCTTAAAGTTGGGTGTCAAGCAGGGAGGCACTGGGTTCCATTTTTAAAGTCTTCGGTATGACCCGAGCAGTTTTGAACCCTGATCTTCCACTCCCAGGGCAGACACTCAACCACTAGGCCACTGAGCTGGTAAAAGACTTACACTGCATCAGAGATTTTCTAATATAGTGCCTGTATTCTTTCCAATATTCAGCAACTTCTCGCAGCTGTTAAAGAGGAGTGGACCACAATCAACAACCTGATCACCTTCATGCAACGGAGATGTGTTGCCCTGCGTGAAGCAAATGGTGGCCACACCGAATACTGACTGGTTTTCTGCCCCAACACCCCCATAAAGCAAAACTGTGCACATGTCAGGGTGTCCTTTTATTGTGGGCAGTCTAAGGCACATTTGTGAGGTGGGATGGATTATCTTGGTAAAGGAAAAGTGCTCACTAACTCACACGTAGACAGACTTTAGTACAACATTTGAGAGTCATGGGTGTTTTGTGCACGTAAAAGAAGTTTCAGATGTTTGAGTTCAACTCACGAAAAATGTGAGCAAAAACAAATCTCTTGTGCTCTTCAGCCTGGATGAACTGTCAGTGAAGTTAAATAATAGCAGAACAGACTGTGTGATTAGTTCAACCCTAATCAATCATCTTATGTATGCTGATGATCTAGTGATGTGGGGCACATCACTAGATGTTTGTTTGAAGTTTTGATTGCCTTGGAATTTGACATCAATTGAATCCTTGCAAGAGTGTCATCATGACCTGCAGCAAAGGAAGATAAAGGTTTAGTTTCCCCAGTTCACATTGTGTGGTAAAACCTTGGCTGTGAGTGGCAAATACAAATATGTGGGGCGTTTCATCAATGATGACTTAGGTGATGATATCCATCGGCAATGCTGTAGGACGTATGCACAAGCCAGTATGCTAATTCGTAGGTTTAGGCTGTGCTCTAATGCAGTGAAAATGATACTTTTGAAAAAACTTTATTAGAAGTATTTTTGGTTATTTTGAATACCCAAACAATACAACAAATTATCGGCAATGCTGTAGGACGTATGCACAAGCCTTCACGCTTAGACTACTGCAACAATAGCCTTCCCAGTCCGGGAGGGACTCAGAGGGCCCCTCTACATCAAGAGGAGCCATTTGAGGTGACTTGGATATCTAGTTAGGATGAACTGCTGGACACCTTCCTGGTGAGGTTTTCTGGGCACGTCCAACTGGGAGAAGTCTTAAAGGAAGACCCAGGAGAGACTATATCTCTCGGCTGGCCAGGGAACACCGTAGGATTCCCCCAGAGGAGCTGGCCCAAGTGGCTGGGGAGAGGGAAGTCTGGCCCTCCCTGCTTAGGCTGCTGCCCCCGCGATCCAACCACAGAAAATCTGGATGGATTGAATGCTATGCATTTTTTTCATATTTAGAAATCATTTCCATGAGCCAGTATGTGCTACAATGACCCTTTACGGGGTCATGAAATGCCACTCAGAGAACTTCACAGTTGCTGGTCCATTCCCTGCTGGTGGGGGGGGGGACTGTGGAGCGAGGAGAAATAACCACAGTGAATTGATGGCAGACACTTGAGGGTGATAAAAGCAAGCGAAACTCGTTTCTCTGTACCAAAATCGTATAAATAGCATTGTGCGCTGACAGATTTTGGTTATATTTTGGTTTGTAGTAACCACTTAGATTAAAGCAGCATATAGGTGCGTTTATGTCGAAACAAATAAAGGAAGTGTTTCCACTGCTTACAAGAGAACTCTTTCATGTAGTTCACCTAAAATAGTTAAAAATGCAACACAAATACACAGTTACACTGGCTGAGTGTACAGGCTAAAAGAAGTCGTTGTTTCTAGTAGTTTAACTATTGAAAAGAGGTTGGTGGCGGCATTAATTCTTATCATTTGTTGCCCCCCCCCCCCCCCCCCCCCCCCCCCCCCGGGTACATTGTTGGTACCCCTCTGCTTAAAAAGCTCTGGACCATCCCTGAGCACTGCATCTGTGTGTGGCCGTTCTGCTGGGGCTTTTTAAAATGACAAAAATAAAAAACACTGAAAGAAAGTTTCGGTAGAAAACAACACAACCACTAATAGTCACTCATTCATGTTAACTGCGTAGGAAACAAATGTGTTTGTTTTCAGTTTGATAGAAGCTGCAATAATAATGTTTAGGACGGCCTTAACACACACAGATATCCAGGGAATTCTGCAGAATTAAAAAAGCGAGGGAGTAGAAAAACATTTCTGTCATAGAAAAATGCCTCACTGATGAAAATGCACACTGGAGACTTCCTCGATGTCACAGTGAAGCCACCTATTAGATCAGACGAGCTGCAGCTTCGGGGTTCTTGAAGAGCAAGTCACCCCCAAATAAACATTTTTTTTGCTGATAAACTAAATAAACGAGTGTCTAATCGTGCTGCAGACACGTGTCGTCAATAATTTGGCACTTCAGTGCATCTTAGTTCAAATTTAAATATTCTGCCTAAAACTGGCAGTGTTGTGCCGTTGTCAGGTAAAAACTCTGCACTGTATTCTAATTTAAATCTGCCACCGCTATTGGCTAAGAAGTATGCTATGATGTAAACTGGTACATTATGATGTCACAATGCTGTCGTGAGCCTGAGTGTGTGTGTATTTGTTAGCGGCTCCGCCCTCTCGGTCTGCCAGGCAACAGCATGTGTTGCATTTTTCAAACATGAAGTGGGAGTGGAGTTAGACTCTGGTAGCGGTTGACTTGCTCTTTAAACCTCAGGTGTGGCAGCTCGCTTCATTTGGAAGCAAGAATCGTCGTTTGGGTCCTGGTTGATTGTTTGGTGACTGTGTGACTCAGCAAAGGTTTGTGGAGATGAATGTTTATCCTGTGTTTGAGAAACGACTGAGGAGTGACCGGATGTGGGGCTGTGGTTGTTAAGCAGTGATCTGTCTTAGAAGTTGCTTTATGGTTGTTTTAAAGTTTGGAGTGTGTGTGTGCCACTGAAAAAACTTACAACTTTTTTCCTGTAGGATCTTGTCTGCTACTTGATGAACCAAATGCCAGAGCTGAGCAACAGAATAAGCAGAATGGTGAGACTTAAACGATCTGCTGTTCAAACATCGAGGAAACTAAATCTAAAAGCGTCTCTTCCTTCTAGCCGTGTCACCAAATGATCTTGCTCTCAAAGACAGTGTTGGGCAAGTGACTTCAAAACTGTAATGCATTATTTATTACTTGTTACCCTCATTTATAAGTAATTCATTACATTACAATATTACTGATTTTAAAATGTATGGCATTACACTATTTTTGCATTACTTGAAGTAACTTTCACCAAAACAACTTCAATATGAATCTGGTCATGTGACGCTCAGTGAGCTCATGACATATATGTGGAAGGTGATGTGGTGTCTGAGCTAGGATTGCTGTTAAAAACAGTCATATATAATAACAGTGCTTTAAAATGATTGTTTATTAAATAAAAGCAACAACAATCTGTACTCTCAGCACGCTGCCATCTTATAGGGCCATCTGAGCAGGGAGTGAGGTGGTGGGGGCTCCAAGCCTATATTTGCCTTGGTCCCCAAATGCCTTGATACGGCCCTGGATGTGGGACTGACTTCTGGGGTGATCTGATTCTATCACATGTATAAATATTAAATGCTTATATATTATTTTCACTGGTAAAAATGTGTATTGGTGATAAATCTACCTACTTTTTTCTTTTCAAGCACTCTGTTTTGTTTTCTTGATTTTATGTGAATAATTTCCGGTCCTTTCTCTCTCTAACCTTCCTGCATGCTGCATGTTTTCTCCGTCTTCCAGAAAAAACTGTTTCCTATATTTCCTACTTTCTAACTAATCAGCCAAAGGGATCTACCGAACGCAAAAAAAAAAAATAATAAAAGCTTCGTATGCGCTGCACTCCAGCAGCAATGAGTTGAAATCACCGGCGCACAGATTATGAACTCAGCTGAAAAGTACATGAAGTACCAGAGAATATGGGCTGATATAAACGATCGCAAACGAATGACTTTGTTTTGGTGGAGCGGTTTTGTGAATATAACAGTGGCGGCGCGCAGGACACAGCTGGAGTATTTGAGCCGTCACCGCTGCGTCCTTTCTGCTCATGGAATGCCCGCAAAGCTGAGTCCCTAAATGACGTCATATATGTGGATACTGGATCTTTTTTCAGGCTTCCCGCAATTTTAATTTTTAGGAAACCCGCATCTTGATTCTGGGTTTAAAAATGCATTGTAATTACCGCGTTACTGACAATTGTACCGAGTAAATATTACCATTTGCTTTCCCTGTAATGCCTTACATTACCACATTACAGCAAAAAGCAATGCATTACAGTAGTTAATTACTTTTGTACCGCGTTACTCCCAACACTGCTCAAAGAAGATTCATTGCTCCAGTCAGCAGATTCCTTTTCGACTCGACTTTCAATGAAAGGTCAGACTTGTTATGCTTTACATTGCTTGGTATGAATACTGTTGAAATTAAACTCTTGAGAAAGTTGGAAGCTAAAAATTGTTTTAAATATTTCAGGAGCAAGTGGAAACCAATGCAGTGGAGCTTGTGCACGCCCGGAGGCGGCAGCCCGGCCTCCGGGCGCGACGGCGGCAGACAGAAATAATCTCCTTGTTAACCAGTCTCTGGCTGCATTCATGCATTTTCCTGTCTCGGCTGCAAGTTCTGATTGAGGTCAGGGCCTGCGCACACGAGGATTGGAAACATGAGTGTTGTGTAGTTCTTGTACCCCATGTAGCTAGTTTAAAATCTTCAGCTCTCGTCTACTG